AGGCCAGGCACAGTGGCTCACGCCTGTAATCCCAGCACTTTTGGGAGGCCGAGGCAGGTGGATCACAAGGTCAGCAGTTTGAGACCAGCCTGGCCAACATTGTGAAACCCCATCTCTGCTAAAAATACAAAAATTAGCCGGATGTGGTGGTGTGTGCCTGTAGTCCCAGTTCCTGGGGAGGCTGAGGCAGAAGAACTGCTTGAACCTGGGAGGCGGAAGTTGCAGTGAGCTGAGATCGTGCCACTGCATTCCAGCCTGGGAGACAGAGCAAGACTCTGTCTTTAAAAAAAAAATTAGCTGGGCGTGGTGTTGGGAACCTGTAATCCCAGCTACTTGAGAAGCTGAGGCAGGAGAATCACTTGAACCCAGGAGGTGAAGGTTGCAGTGAGCCAAGATCGCACCATTGCACTCCAGCCTGGGTGACAGAGTGAGACTCCATCTCAAAAACAAAGAAAAATAAAATAAAATAAAAGATAACCTACAGAATGGGAGAAAATATTTGCAAGTCTTATGATAAGGGTTTAGTATCTTGAACATCTTCTCCCAGAAAATAACCAACAGGAACATGAAAAGATGTTCACTCAACATCACCGATCATTAGAGAAAGGCAAATCAAAACCATAATGATGTAGCAGGACAAGCTACAGACAAAACGCCTCAGACACCAGATTAAAGAAGGAAGAGGTTTTTCATTCGGCCGGGAGCATCGGCAGACTCGCATCTTAAGAGCCGAGCTCCCCAAAGACAGAGTTCCTGGCCCTTTTAAGGGCTTACAACTCTACAGGGTTCCACGTGAAAGGGTCCTGCACATGTGGTTAGAGTAGGGGGCGGGGTTAATCTTTTAACCTCAGGCCTGGTCATCAGTGGCACAGGCTGGTCTTGCCACTGCATTCCTGTTGTTTTTCAACTTTTACTTCCTTCTCCTCCTCAGAGACAGGAGACAGTAAGAGAAATGGCTTCTCTCCTCATTCCCCACTTTGAGAACCTCACTCACGAGTGGGAGTTCTCACTCTCATCTTCACTACTCAGGTCTTCCTGCCAGTTCAGTTCCACTGACTCCTAGAGTTACATACTCTGTTTTCCAACAGGGGCTAATCTGCGTCTTTTAGGTCCAAACAGGAGAACCAGGTGTCCTCAGCTGGCAGCAACCCCAACAATGTGTCAACAGTCTTTTTGGATAAGCCGGCAACTGGGGCAGTTACTACCAAATGTTCAGCACCAGGATCGACAAGAAAATACCCCCGACTGTCATCCTGACCATAGGCTCTTTGGGGGCACTTGAGCCCGGTCCCCCTCAGTCCAATAACCCTTCCGCCAGGTTGAGCAGGGCCCCTTCCTCCTTGTCTGGGGCCTCCTGCTCTGAGTCACCTTATTTTTTTTATTTTTTATTTTTTGAGACAGGGTCTCGCTCTGTCACCCAGGCTGGACTGCAGTGGCGCAATCTCGGCTCACTGCAAGCTCCGCCTCCCGGGTTCACGCCATTCTCCTGCCTCAGCCTCCCTAGTAGCTGGAATTGTGAAACCCCGACTCTACTAAAAACACCTTGCTTTCTTTTTAGCTGAGGGCATTTGTTCTTCTAATGTCCTATTTCTTTACAATAAGCACACTGGTTACGCTGCAAACTCTGACAACCAGGCTGAGTTTCTTTCCCAGGGCCCCCCACTTCACTTCCCTTGCCTCTTTGGGGGGACGACTCTGATGGCTGCAGCTAGCAGGTCGGCATTTCGCTGGGCCTGACGTTCACTCTCTGCGGTTTTCCTTATGGCTTACCGCGTCCCTGTTTACAAACACTCGGTTAGCTATTTCTAATAACTGATGTATTCATCCCTGCAAACCCAGCGTGTTTCTGCAGTTTTCTTCTAATGTCTTCTGCGCTTTGACTAACTAAAGCCACGTTGATCATGCGCTGATTTTCAGGGCTATCGGGATCAAAGGGAGTATACATATGACAGGCCTCGCACGGTCTCTTGTAGAATTGTGCTGGACGCTCCTCTTTTCCCTGAATGACCTCAGAGACCTTGTTAACGTTTGTGGCCTTCTGGGCTCCCTCTTTAATCCTTCCACGAGAGCTTCCCTGTCTCGGTTCAGCCTTTGCACACCCTCTCTTTCATCTGGGTCCCACTGGGGGTCGGTTCCTGGGAACTGGGTCCTCACATACTCTTGGGGGTTTTGGTAACCAGCCGGTACATGTTCCTCTAGCCACTCAGGCGCTGCGTGGAGCACTCTCCGCCTTTCATCTGTGTTAAAGAGGAACATGAGCAGCTGGTGGCAATCAGCCCAGGTGGGGCTATGGGTCCGGATAAGTTGGGAGCAAATCAATTAGAGCTTGTGGCTTTTCGTATAGGACGGGGTATTGTTGGTCGGCAGAGGTGAAGGGCTGGTACACAAGAACACGCCTCTCCACCCTGTGCCCGTCCTCATCTGTCCCAGGATAACGCTGCTCTCTCAGGGGCATTTGTACCCAGTTTTGGGTTGTAAATGAGCTGCCAAGGGAGGGGTTTCTCCTGAGGCTTCACCTCCTCTCTTGTCTACTCTGGGTGGGATATGTTTGTCTTGCGGAGGTGCAAGCATTGTGGGCTCAAGAGCAGGGAGCCTCTCTCCCTGGTAAGGGGAGGGCACCACTGGGATCACTGGTGCCATCTCCTGCAATGGGTCTTCTGGTGTTGGGTTGAACAGAACTTCAGGAGTTGATTTCCCTCAGCGGGTGGAGCGGGATTCTTGGCTGGCTGTCCCTTTGCTACTAGCACTGCTGCTGCCTGCCTGCTTAGCCACTGTGGGGGGTCTAGCACCAGCTGTAACCAAGTGTCTATGTATGGGAACTAGTCTAGGTATCCCTTACCAGATACCTTGTGCCACATCTTAGAAACAAGGGACCTGTCCAGGCTTCCTTCTGATGGCCAACCCACTTCTAATGTTGGCCCATCTATTTCACACAAAGTTCTAAGTTTTCCTGGTGTCACAGTAACCCCACAGTCTCCACTAAATCCCTTCTTAAAATTTTTCAACATAGTTCCTAGCGAAGTGGGCTCACTTTGTGTCTGACCCATGTTTCTTCGAAATAAAACACCACGCTCACACCACACACACCGCAGAACGAAGAATGGGTAAGAAGGGCACACATGCACTTTTTCAGTTTACACCAAACCAGAATAAAAACCAAAATCAGAATATCCAGAAATCCAAGCCAGGTCAAAACCAAATCCAAAGTATCAGGCAATTCAGGTTAAGTCAAAAACCAAAGTGCCAGTACAGGCACGCCGTGGGTGATCAGGCCACGCTTCCACTCAAATGCAGCGGGCAAGTTCCCAAGACCAGTCTTACCAAGTTTCAGACATCCGGACTTAAAGTGCCAGTTCCTTCCCGGTGTTCAGCCTCTGCGTGGATCCTCCACGGGGGCCTGCTGTGCACTGCTCTGACGAGGCGTTCCACCGGGGCAAATGCCTACCCGGGAGCGCTCTCAGGATCCGCGTGGCTCCAGCTGGCCTGAGGCCCCACAGGGATGTTCCACAGGGCAGGCCTAAGCGACCCAAGGGGCTGCCTCGACTGTCTGTTAATCACCTCGCTTCCCGGTCAGGGAACCAAGAAATGTAGCAGGACGAGCCGCAGACAAAACTCCTCAGACGCCGGATTAAAGAAGGAAGAGGTTTTTCGTTCGGCCGGGAGCGTCAGCAGACTCGCGACTTAAGAACTGAGCTCCCCGAAGAGAGTTCCTGGCCCCTTTAAGGGCTTACAGCTCTAAGAGGTTCCACGTGAAAGGGTGATGCTAGATTGAGAGCACATGTGGTTACAGTGGGGGTTAACCTTTTAACCTCAGGCCTGGTCATCAGTGGCACCAGCTGGTCTTGCCACGGACTTCATTCCTGTTGTTTTTCAACTTTTACTTCCTTCTCCTCCTCAGAGACAGGAGACAGTAAGAGAAATGGCTTCTCTCCTCAATGAGACACCTCTTGATACACACTAGCATGGCTATAATAATTTAAAACAAGAAAATAACGAGTGTTGATAAGGACCTGGAGAAACTGGAACCCTCGTGCACTGTTGTTGAGAATGGAAATGGGTGAGACCGCTGTGGAACACAGCTTGATGGTTCCTCAAAAAATAAACATGGAGGCCGGGCACGGGAGCTCACGCCTGTCATCCCAGCACTTTGGGAGGCCGAGGCAGGCAGATCACCTGAGGTCAGGAGTTCGAGACCAGCTTGGCCAACATGGTGAAACCCCATCTCTACAAAATATAAAAATTAGCCAGGCAGAGTGGTGCATGCCTGTAATACCAGCTACTTGGGAGGCTGAGGCAGGAGAATTGCTTGAACCCAGGAAGCGGAGGTTGCAGTGAGCTGAGATTGTGCCATTGCACTCCAGCCTGGCGACAGAGTGAGACTCCATCTCAAAAAATAAATAAATAAATAAAGTCCGGGTGCAGTGGCTCACGCCTGTCATCCCAGTACTTTGGGAGGCCAAGGCGGGTGGATCACGAGGTCAGGAGATCGAGAGCATCCTGGCCAACATGGTGAAACCCCGTATCTACAAAATACAAAAATTAGCCAGGTGTGGTGGCGGGCACCTGTAGTCCCAGCTACTCCAGAGGCTGAGGCAGGAGAATGGCATGAACCCGGGAGGCGGAAGTTGCAGTGAGCCGAGATTGCACCACTGCACTCCAGCCTGGGTGACAGAGCCAGACTCTGTCTCCAAAAATAATAAAAAAAGAAAAAAAGAAAAAAAGAAAAATTAAACATGGAGTTACTACATTACCCAGTAATGCCACTCCTGGGTACACACCCAAGAAAAATGAAAAGAGGTGTCCAAAATAGCCCTGAATGTGCACAACAGATTACTCACAAGGGCTGAAAAGCAGAAACAACCCAGGTCCGACAAATGAGGAACCAAAATGTGCTCTATCCACGCGATAGCTTCTTATTCGGTCACAAAAAGAAACCAAGTACACGTGCTCTGACATGGGTGAAAATACTATGCAAAGTGAAATAAGACACGAGGCCATGATTGTGTGATTCCATTTATATGAAACGTCCAGAACAGGGAGAACCTATTTTAGACAATAGAGACAGAAAGGCGATTAGCAGTTGCCAGGGGAGGAGGAAGACGGGAGGGGAAATGATTGCTTCCTGCGGTGATGAGAGAATGTTCCGGAACGTGACAGAGGTGGTGCCTACACAACTTTCTGGATGTACTAAATGCCGCTGATCATTTACTTTAAGGTGATTGATTTTTAGGTAAGTTGAATTTCACCTCAATTAAAAAACCCGAACACACAAACTGCTCCCACCAGCTCAGCCCCGAGCAGACGGCGCTGCCCGTGGAGGATGCCCAGCCACCCGGGCTTCTCCCTGCCCGCTTCCCTGTCCCCGTCCTGGACTCTTCCCTCTTTTGCCTTTAATCCACTCTGCCCAGTCATTGCTCGTGTTCTTCCTACCTGGCCGACTTCTCTCTCAGTATTTCCTTGGTGAAACATCCTAAGAGGAAGTTACATTAGAGAAAAGCGCATTTCATCTCACAGGGCCATTCATCTCATAGGGCCATTTAGGAAGCCATATGTTAATGAGGGGAGATGGATGCTCCTTGCTGTCTGCAGGGATAACGGGTGCCAGGCGAGGCAGTTACCAATCACGTGTGTGTTTAGGGCTCAGGAAAGCGAAGGAGAAGCGGGCCAGGGTGGTGGGGCCGCTCCACAGTGCCCAGCGCTCCAGACTTCACTTCTGGTCCCGCTCCTGGGCGGCCACGAAGTTCAGCAAGTCAATGGCAGTGACCACCCCGAACACCATCTGCCGCTGACTGGACTTCCCGGTGCTGTGGTCTGAGGGGAGAACGAGGCAGCGCGTCTGCAGGTGCCGCGGGAGGCTGGGCGGGCTGCTGCGGGGCAGGAGGCTCCTAGGGGCCTAGGGGACCTACCTGTGCACCGTGGGGGCCCCAGGGCGGCCTGCTGAAGCCCAGCAGCCAAGGCTGTGTTTTTTTTTTTTTTCCCGAGACAGAGCTTCACTGTCACCCAGGCTGGAGTGCAGTGGTGCAGTCTTGGCTCACTGCAACCTCCACCTCCTGGGTTCAAGTGATTCTCGTGCCTCAGACTCCCAAGGAGCTGGGACTTCAGGTGCACATCACCACACCCAGCTAATTTTTGTATTTTTAGTAGAGATGGGGTTTTGCCATGCTGGCCAGGCTGGCCTCGGACTCCTGACCTCAAGTGATCCACCTGCCTCGGCCTCCCAAAGTGCTGGGATCACAGGCTTGAGCCACTGGGCCTGGCCAAGCCTCTTCTGATATGAGCCCCATGGGGTCCCAGGCCAGGCTCTACCCCCACCCCATGAGTCCCATGGGCCCCAGGCCAGGCTCCACCCACCGCATGAGTCCCCTGGGCCCCAGGCCAGGCTCCATCCACCGCATGAGTCCCCTGGGCTCCAGGCCAGGCTCCACCCACCGCATGAGCCCCCTGGGCCCCAGGCCAGGCTCCATCCACCGCATGAGTCCCCTGGGCTCCAGGCCAGGCTCCACCCACTGTATGAGTCCCCTAGGCCCCAGGCCAGGCTCTACCCAGCCCCTCCACCCCATGAGTTCCCTGAGCCCCATGCCAGGCTCCACCCAGCGCATGTCAGGACGCACCCTTCCCCGGCCCACCATAAGGCTCCTGAGGCGCTCAGGACTTCAGAGCCGGTGTGAGCCTGAAATTCAAGCCTGCTCACAAGGCCGGCACAGTGGCTCACACCTGTGATCCCAGCACTGTGGAAGGCCAAGGTGGGAGGATCATTTAAGCCCAGAAGTCTGGGACCAGCCTAGGCAACATATCGAGACCCCATCTCTACAGAATATTTTTTTTTGAGACGGAGTCTCACTGTGTCACCCAGGCTGGAGTGCAGTGGCGTGATCTCCGCTCACTGCAAGCTCCGCCTCCCGGGTTCACGCCATTCTCCTGCCTCAGCCTCCCAAGTAGCTGGGACTACAGGCCCGCCACCTCGCCCGGCTAGATTTTTGTATTTTTAGTAGAGACGGGGTTTCACTGTGTTGGCCGGGATAGTCTCTATCTCCTGACCTCATGATCCGCCCGCCTCGGCCTCCCAAAGTGCTGGGATTACAGGCTTGAGCCACTGCGCCCGGCCAGAATATTTTTAAAAATAAATTAGTTGAGCATGGTGGCATATGCTTGTGGTCCCAGCTACTTGGGAGACTGAGGCAGAAGGATCAGTTAAGCACAGGAAGTCGAGCCCGCAGCGAGCTGTGATGGCACCACTGCACTCCAGTCTGGGCAACAGAGCAAGACCCTGTCTCTAAAACCAGACAAAAACCCCTTGCCACCACAGGCAGCACACAGCTCCCATCTCTGGCCTGATTCTGTCTTCACCCCTACTGCCTTCTCCTGGCAAGCGTGGGCTCGGTGTTAATGCTGGCCCAGGTTCCCACAATGGTTAATTTTAATACAGATTAACGGGGCCGTGGGGAGCCCAGGCATTGGTCACACATCATTCTGGGCGTGTGTGAGGGGATTTCTCGATTAGCACAAGAGTCAACACGCGTGCTACTGTGGAGGGCCTCACCCAAGCAGCTGAGGCCTGAATAGAACCAAAGGTGGAATTTCCTGCCTTGGGGCTTGAACCGCTGGCTCTCCAGTCTCCAGCCTGCCGCCTCACCCTGCAGATCTCAGGGTCTGTCAGCCTCTGTGATCTCATGAGCCAGTTCCTTAACACAGATCTCATTCCCTCCCTTTCTCCCCTCCCCACACATCCTCTCGGTCCTGCGTCTCCACAGGACCCTATGCCAGCTGTCATGAGGCACAGGGGTGAGCAGGGTGGGGGTAAGGAACATCCAGGCGGAGCCCTCGGAGCCCATCCCCACTCTGCCACGGCTGTCACTCCTATCTTTGTAGGCAGAGGTCCCTACTTAGCGCCCCAGGAAAACCAGGGAACCCAGATGAGATCAGCTCCTTGTGTTTCGGGGACACTGAGGCACAGTGACAGTGTTGGAGAAGGGAGCCCTGAGTGCCGCAGGCTTCTGTGGCCCTGAGGCAGTGAACCAGGGCTGGCCGGTGGGCTTTCCGACGACGGCCAGGTGGTGGTATGTTAGGTCTTGGGGGCTGTGCCATCTCTGTTGTGACCACACAGCCCTGACCTGCTCGAAAGCAGCCACAGGCAGTGGTGACAAGCGTGGACATGCTCCAGGAAGACTTGAGTTGGGGACCCTGACATTGGCATTTGCATCTTTTTTTTTTTTTTTTTTCTGAGATGTTCAAACACAAGTAAATGTGAGATGAAGAGGGGAACCCGCCTACCCAAGCTTGGGGGTGGGTCCGGGGCCCTGGAAAGCCTTCATTTGCCATGGGGAGGCTGTGATTCTGAACCAGAGAGCCATTCTGAGGGGTGGGTGTTACCTACCTGCAGGCCCTCCCACCACACCTGCCCAGGCCTGGTCCCGCGCTGCAGAGCCAAGGATGGGAGATGGGGTTAGACTCGGGGCCCTCACGGACCAGCCTCAGCCGCCCAGTGCTCACCCACTGCACACAGGCCTGGTGGGTGGGCAGGCTCCGGGCTCCAGGCCCCCTCCCAACTCTTCCTGTGGGCCCTGGGCTGAGGGCTGCCATCTATAACCCAAAACCTGCGAGCGACTCTCCTGGCCTGTGGGGATATGGTGGGGACGCCCGGGGATGTGCTTAGGAGTCGCCAAACCTCACGAGCTCGCTGGGAGCAGGGCTCCGAGGACAGCCCACGAGTGGCTCCTCTGAGACCCATGTGGGGGTTTCCGTTCAGAGCAGCCCCCCGAAGGCCACGAGGCTGTTGGGGCAAACACCTGCCTCTCCAGGGCTGCAGGACATGGCCAGGGTCAGGACTTGAAACCCTTCCAGATGTTTCTGGGTTTGTCCCTGAGAGTCCCCAAGACTGCTGGCCTCCCGGGAGGCAAAGGCCCTACCCTGTGTGGCCTGAGGGGTCCCTGCAGGAATCGTAGGTGCAGCCCACCAGCCCGGGGCGTGTGGGAGGCCCGGGCATAAAGACTGGGTGTCACTGAAGGTCGGCACCACCCACTCCCCTAAAACCCCGCGGGGGACAGGGGCCCAGCTGCTGCCCATGGCAGAGGCCAGGCTTGGTGGCCTGACCCCAGTGAGAATCCCATGCACAGAGCAGGTCTCCACTCACATTGGATCTGCTCGTGCACCACCAGGGCGAAGTGGTCCATCTCCAGGATGTGCGAGAGCCTGCCCAGCGTGTCCGTCAGGCGGATCTGCAAGGGAAGCGCGGTCAGTGGGCCCCACCGGTCCCAGGAAAAGGGACACGGGTGACAGGAAAGCATCGCGCAAAAGGATCCTAACCTAGGAATCAGAGGGTGACGGGACACACTGAGAAAGACCCTTTGAGGAGGCCAGGCACGGCGGCTCACACCTGTAATCCCAGCACTTTGGGAGGCCGAGGAGGGCAGATCACTTGAGGTCACGAGTTCGAGACCAGCCCGGCCAACATGGTGAAACCCTGTCTCTATTAAAAATACAAAAATTAACAGGGCGTGGTGGTGAGTGCCTGCAATCCCAGCTACTCAGGAGGCTGAGGCAGGAGAATCGCTTGAACCTGGGAGGCAGAGGTTACAGTGAGCTGAGATCCGGCCACTGCACTCCAGCCTGGGCAACAGAGGGTGACTCAGTCTCAAAAAAATAAAATAAAATGAAATAAAATAAAATAAAATAAAATAAAATGAATAAAATAAAATAAAATAAAATAATAAAAATAAAAAATACCCTTTGAGGAACTATCAAATTAAGAAAGGGGCTGGGAGTGGTGGCTGTTGCCTATAATCCCAGCACCTTGGGAGCCCAAGGCAGGAGGATAGCTTGAGCCCAGGAGTTTGAAACCAGCCTGGACAACATAGCAAGACCTCATCAAAAATACAAAAACCTAGCCAAGCACGGTGGCGTGTGCCTGTAGTCCCGGCCACTTGGAGGCTGAGGCAGGTGCATTGATTGAGCCTGGGAGTTCAAGGCTGCAGTGAGCCATGATCACGCCACTCAACTCCAGCCTGGGCGGCAGAGCGAGACTCAGTCTTGAGGGGAAATAAAAAACAGGAAGGGACGTGGAGAGGCCTCGAATGCACTGTTACGTCAAAAAGCCAGTGTGAGAGGGCTCTGTGCTGTATGATTCCAACCCTATGGTGTCCTATTTAAGACAAAACTAGTAAAAAAGAGCCGTGGACTCCGGGGTCGGGGGTGGGCTGAACAGCCGGAGCGCAGGGGCGTTTTAGGGTGCGAGCGTTCCTCTGGAGGGTCCTATGACTCCCGTCTGAGGAGAGCTCAAACCTCCACTCACTGTGGCCTTCGCTGCCATCGATTTCCTGGGGAAATGCCACCAGGGCTGCACAAGCCCCTCCTGGGACACAGTGAGGACACTTGCTTATCAGCAACGGGCAGGCAAACCCAGAGGTGGGGCGCACCTCACAGTGAACCACCTCAGGTCTGCACGGCAGGTGTCCTTCCCGTTTCGACCTGGCAGTAGAGGCAGCTCCCCAGGTGAGCCGTGAGCTCCCGGGGCTCGGAGGGGGCACCGCCTGACCCTGTACCGAACGCTCAGGAGGCGAAGCGCTGCGATGTGCCCCACGCTGGTGCCCCGTGCATCCAGAAGCAAGGGTGTGATTTATGGAAAGCCCAGCCCCCCGGCGCGCGTGCTTACGAAGGCAGACCCTGCATGTGTCGGAAGACCAAGGAGGCAGCGTTTTCCCGTCCGACAAAAGAACCAGGAGTAACACCCCGGGGAGCCGTGAAGGCCGGGACCTGCCCCGCCCCCCTCACTGTGGGACAGACCCTCGGCCTGGGGACCACAGGAAGGGCCAGCGCCGGGTAGAACATGTGCCCAGGGGATGGGAGCCACTGTTTTCTGTGGTGGTGCCCGGCCTTTGCGTTGGGACAGGGTCTGAAACGAGGTAGCTTCTACTCCTGCTGAAGGCCATCCTATCCCCGCATCCCTTCCCCTTGGGGACCGGAGCAGAGTGGGACACAGGGAGGCCCCAGAGGTGCTCTGTCCCTGCTGGCCAGGCCCCTCGTGTGGGCCATGGTGAGAGCCTCAGGCCTTGGCGGCAGGTCTGCTAGAGCCCAGTGGGGCAAGCAGGGCAAGTGCGGCTGGGAGCTCAGCTGCGCCCGGGAGTCAGGGCATCGCTGGATGATGACCAAGCCTCCGGACCCCCACGCCCTTGGGCATGAGGCCAGTGGCCACCAGCCCTGCCCTTTAGCTGTCTCAGATCCTGCCAGCTTGAAGATCAAAGTCAGAAAACCAAAGCACCAACATTACATTGAGAGTCTCAATGTAACCACCAGAGAGCCGGCTCAGCACCTCGCCAGGCAAGGGCACCTAATCCGTCCCATTTGTGCAGGGGCCGGAGCGCAGCCCGAGAATCAATACCAAAGGCCACAGACACCATGGAATAGAACTCAGGACACAGCACGGAGGGGGCAGACAGGCATGCGACATTGTGCAGCGGGTCACAGGACGACCACCAGGTCCGTGGGAAGGAGGTAGAAACGGTGAGCACCCCCCAGGCGTCTTCACCCACACAGCCCTGGAGGGTGTGGCTGAGGTGGACCCCCAGCCTGGGGTGGCTGCCTGGGGGTGGGGTGGGGACTCAAGGGGGCACAAGAAGCCTTTGGGGATAACAGATGTGTCATGGGTGACAGCATCATGGGTGTATATTTATGTCAAAATCACTAAGCTAGGCCAGGCACGGTGGCTCACGCCTGTAATCCCAGCACTTCGGTAGGCTGAGGTGGGCGGATCATGAGGTCAGGAGTTCAAGACCCACCTGGCCAACACGGTAAAACCCTGTCTCTACTAAAAATACAAAAATTAGCTGGGCGTGGTGGCACATGCCTGTAATCCCAGCTACACAGGAGGCTGAGGCAGGAGAATCGCTTGAACCCGGGAGGCGGAGGTTGCAGTGAGCAGAGATTGCGCCACTGCACTCCAGCCTGGGTGACAGAGCCAGACTCCGTCTCAAAAAAAAAAAACAAAAAACAAATCACTAAGCTGTGTGTATTAAATATGTTCATTGTATCCTATAATACCGCAGTCAAGAATGAAGGGGAGAGTGGGGAGGAAGGAGAGAAACTTCCAGCACTGGGGGGTAGTGCTCTCACGTGGTGCTGGGCACCATGACCCCACTTGGTGATCACCGGGGGCTGGACAGTCTCCAGGAGCTCCCCACAGAGCGGGAGGCGATGGCGGCTCCAGAAAGCACAGGAAGCACCCTCGCAGCACAGGTGCTCTGGGGCCGGGACAGCCAGCGCGAAGCCAGGAAGGAACACCCTCTAGGTGGGCACGGGGGCTTTGCCCCCAGTGGGCTTGGCAGGGGGGTCACGGCCCGACAAGTTTTCTGTGGAGTGAGAGGAGACGCGATGGGGGGGGTCCTGCAAGGCCCACTCGGGAGGCGGTGGCAGCTGAATGTGAGAAACACGTGGATTCGGGTGACGTTTCAGGTGTGTGTATGAGATGGGAAAGAAGTCAAATTTGCGCCGGGCGCAGTGGTTCACACCTGTAATCCCAGCACTTTGGGAGGCCAAGGGCAGGCGGATCACAAGGTCAGGAGATCGAGACCATCCTGGCTAACACAGTGAAACCCAGTCTCTACTAAAAATACAAAAAAAAAAAAAACTAGCCAGGCGTCTGGTGGGGCACCCCGTAGTCCTCAGCTACTCAGAGGCTGAGGCGGGAGAATGGTGGTGACCCAGGAGGCGGAGCTTGCAGTGAGCCGAGATTTTGCCACTGCACTCCAGCCTGGCGCGACAGAGATTCCATCTCAAGAAAAAACAGGCCAGGCGCGATGGCTTAAGCCTGTAATCCCAGCACTTTGGGAGGCTGGACAGGCGGATCACTAGGGCAGGAGATCGAGACCATCCTGGCTAACCACAGTGAAACCCCCCATCTCTACTAAAAAATACAAAAAACTAGCCAGGCATGGTGGGCGGGGCACCTGTAGTACCAGCTACTCAGGAGGCTGAGGCAGGAGATGGCGTAAACCCGAGGGACGGAGGCTTGCAGTGAGCCGAGATCACGCACTGCACTTCAGCTGGGCGACAGAGCGAGACTCGGTCTCAAAAAAAAAAAAAGTCAACTTCGCTCCTACGTTTGGGCAGAACCCTAGCCTTTCGTGCAAAAGCCACACCTCAGTGTCCCAGGGATCCATGTGGAAAGTCACACGAACTTGCCTGGGCCAGCCTCAGAGCAGCGAGGGTGGGTGCTCAGGACAGCATGGGTCTAACCAGCCCAGCAAGGCAGCCCCATGGTTCTCTCAGATGTTCTAGCTTTATTGGATAACCAAATGCATGCACCAGGCAAATGAGGCTGGGCATGAGAAAGATCCCAGCAGGCCACATGGGCCAGGGACAGCGTCCCAAGCGCAAACGACCTCCTCAGTCCCAGAACGGCTGGAGGATGAGCCTGCACTGATGAGCGCCTCCTCTCTGGCTGCTGCACTTGTAAAGTGTGGTGCTTCTCAGCTTCATGGTTGGAGGGGTGCAGCCAGCTTCGGCCTAAGTGGTGTTGAGGGTCAAGACCCAGCACCCCCACACAGGAAGTGCCGCATCCTGCCTTCGAGGCCGGGGGACTCGGGCACCTCTGCCCGTCCCGAAGACCCTGCGGACCTGTTTGAACTGCCGTAGGTGACTGCGCCCTGTTGAACTGCCCGTAGGTGACTGAGTACCTGTTTGAACTGCGTGTAGATGACTTTGCCCACTTGGTCTGATGGCTGCACCTTCCCGGCAACAGGGGCGACAGCATGTTCAAGCCGTCCCCATTCCCAGGACACCCTGTGGGGTGGGGGCAGGCAGGGGTCAGCGCTGGCACCTCATGCCCTCCCAGGACCAGCAGGGCACACCCTCTAGCTGCCCTGGGGAGGAGCACTCTCTGGCCACCTGGGAGTCCTCTGCCACCAGCCTACACACCGGCAGGAACAGGCGGGCCCTGACGGAGAGAAGAACCAAAGTCCTTGGCACCTATCAGCAGGGTCGAGGGTGACCAGCCGTCAGGTTTCGCGACATGGGGCTCTCTCAGTGGTCACTGGGCATGTGTGCCCAGGCCTTCTGCTGTCAGACATGTCAAGGATATCTTCCTCCCCTGCCCGAGGGTG